CCCCAAAACCCCAAAACCCCAAAACCCCAAAACCCCAATAATTTTAAGCTTTATAGAGCTAAATATAATTAATTAAAATGAAGAAGGAAAGACAATCTTATTCAATCAAGTACTGAGGGGAAATTAATGGCTCAATGGGTGTACTCTCAAAGAGGATGCAGATTCCCACCCTCAATGAAACTTTTCTGAGTAAAACTTTTTATTTAGAGCTAACTCCAATACTTCTGTTTAGGAGATTTTCATGACAAAGAGAAATTTCCTCAAAGAATTTCGAAGAAGAAAGGATTTGAGATGAGTCTGTATGAAGGTATTCAGCCTAATTCAACAATACGGAAGTCCAGCCCATATGGGCATCTATAGTAGGTCTTTTGGCAGATATAGATTTATAAAAATATAGCCCTACTATGAGCATTTACAAGCCAGTTCAGAAACAGTACCAAAGTTATGATACACAACAGAGGTAGGTTTTGGATGTCCAAATTATGTCAGGTTTTTTACTAAATTTTAAATCTCTCAAAATTTACCACAAGCTAAATTTGGTCAAGTCATGCTACTCATTTCTTCTTATCACTGCCCTATGTAGGAAATCGTTAGAACGACGAACTATTGAGTTATCAGGTAAACCCACTGATCTAATTCCTTTAAAAGATGGTAAAGTGGTCATCAACAATTCTTCCTCAGTTATGGACATCAAGCAAGCTATGCCTAAAAAGAAAGGCAGAAAAGCTCATTCAAATTTACCAAAAATCAAAGGGATTGACTGGTAATTTCATTTGTTTAGAAAAAATTATTCGATTTTATTGCAAAAATGTCCCAGATCAGCTGGTTGTTTAATTCATGTTCATCCTTCTCAGGCAAATTCTGTTGAATTTTAACCATTTTTAGTGGGAATAAGGCTCTGAACCACTTCGATACAAAAATTCTAAAGCAAACCCACAAGAAGCGGCTCAAGAATAGGTCAGAAGTAATGAAAAAGATTGTTGAGTAAGCTTTTGATGAATATCTAAAGTGCTAAAAAGATAAAATATCGGAAATAGGAACAACGCTTCTTCCAAACAGCATATGTACAGTAAAGCCAAGATTTATTTCAAGTCTCCGAACGAGAAGAAGCCTTCAGTAAGTACTTCTCGGAGTCTAAATTACTCTCTATAGTCTGAGCTGGATTATTTGAACATTTTTACATTTGAAAAGTAAGGGTTTGGTAACATTTTAGTGCAAACAAATCACCAAAATTAAAATTTTTAAAACTTGAAAAGTACCCGCAAGTGGCTGGATTTGGCCTAAACAAAACATGTAATTTCGGTAGTGATCCTTAGCATCTACGAAGAACAAGATTAATGAGATGATGTCCAAAATTGTCAAGCGCAACAAAGGGATTACTAAGTAAGCAGATAGCTGATCTCTTTAGTAATAGTTATGGAAGTTCAATGCATAGTAAGAAGAAAAAGGGCAAACTAATGACTCCTAAGATTGACAATAGCTCTGCTTATAGCTCATATTCTGAGATACCTAATGTGCCTAAATCACGTCCAGCAGTACCTGATATGATGAGTCCTAAGATATTTATCAATAATAGTATGAATGAAGATGATTGTGATGATACCGAATACCAAGAATTACAGTGAGAATACACATCTTTGCAGAAGGAAGGCCATGACGTTTCGATTAATGCTCTTATCAGCTCCAATGAGGTCTCTGAGAAGGTAGTCTGTCATCTAATTTTATAGGTCAAGATCACTCCATGCTCTAAGAAGAAAAAGCCGAAGAAGTATATCAATGTATCTATAAAACTATAACAATTATTTCAATTTTTAAGAATCTGTTTGGGGTTTTGGGGTTTTGGGGTTTTGGGG